GAGTTTTTCCAATTTAAATGACATTATTCGAAATGGGATTAATTATTCAATTCAGAGTCACCACTTGGGATAGTTTATTTGGTGTCCCAAGTCACCGATTTATTTTAAATCACAAATCGAGGAAATTTCGACTTTCCTTTTGAAGTCTGCGAATCAGAAATTCTGAGTAGGGAATTCNTCTTTTCTTCAAATATTTCTCTTCTATTTATAGGAGAATTTTCAAAAAATTTCATATTTTTTTTAAATTTTTTTATTTAAAAGAAATCCCACTTACATTTTGCTTTTCTTTTTTTACAAAAAGAATTACCACATTTCTTTACTTTTATTTTTTAAATTCCAACTTTACTTTTATCTTATTTAAAATCCCACTTTTTTTTACTTTTTTAAAAGAGAATTCCACTTATTTTACTTTTCTTAAAAAAACAATCCACTTTTTTTTTTTTACTTTTCTTTAAAAAATTCTACTTTATTTTAATTTAATTTTTTTTAAATTTTCAGCTACCTTTATATTATTTTTTAATTCCAACTTTCTTTTACTTTTTATTTTTAAAAATTTCCACAAAACTTTACTTTTATTTTTTTAATTTTTCACTTTCTTTTACTTTTTAAAAGAGAATTCCACCTACTTTTACTTTTTTTTTTAATTCCATACTTCCCTTTTTCTTATTTTTTAAATATCTCCCGAAAATTTTAAAAAAAAAATTAATATTTTTCGGATTTTTTATTATTATTTAAAAATAAGAATAAAAATAAAATAATATTAATAGTAATAATTCACCTTCTAAAATTTTGTATTTTTAACCTATAATAAAAAGTATAACAAAGCTAAAAATTTGTATGTTAAAACCCCCTAAAATATTTACATAGAAGAAGTGACAAAAAAAATTAAATATTATCAAAAATTAGGTGCTCACAAAAAGTATTCAAACCTTATATGTATGTTACCGACTTTTTCAATTACCAATGTGAGACTTTTTTCGCATGCCTAACAACTTTATTACAAAAACACATATTATAGTAAGTTAACCTACACTAATTTTATAGAAAATTATATTGTTAATGTATATCTAACTCTTCAAAATTACTTCCAAAAAACATTTTTACAAAAGTATTTATTAAAAGAAACATTTTTGAAATACTGGCCAAACATGACTATTAAATCCTCAATGCAAAGTAGTACACTAATTTCTTGCACTCTCCTCATTCCTTCCTTGGTGGAATTACTACTCCTACGTGCATGTGTGGCTCGTACGACTGGACCATCCTTAGATATTTATTTATCTTATTCCACTCGTTTGATCATATCACAAAATCAAGATTATCTTATTAATTCTTTTCCTTTTTCCCCTATATTATTTTGTACTTAACCTCACCACCTCCTTCTCCTCCCGCTACTAGTACTCAACCCAAATACACACTAAAAACCAAAAACCCCAAAAGTTGAAAAAATCTTGATATGTTGAATCATCAAATACCTAGTAGCAGAGAAAATCTTGTTCAAGAACATAATCATGATCAAGAAGAAGAACAAATCAGAGACATCCATGCTCTAACCCCATCAAGGCCTCCATCAACAAATCGTGGCCGTCGAAGAGAAACTTGGGAAACTAATAGCCATAGATCATCCACAAATTTATCCATAGCCAGTACAGAAGTAGCATCAAGTGAGAATTTCTCAACCATGAGTAGAGAATTCAATGCTTTAGTTCTTGCTGGATCTTCAATAAGCAACAACCACGGTAGCGAAAACGACACCAACAACAACAACAATATTAACAACAGCAATATTTTGGGAAGAATTGGTGAAGATGATTATGAAACAATTGAGGAAACAAATCCTTTAGCTATTGTTCCAGATAATTATAGTAACCCCTTGAGTTTGGACAACACTATTAATAATAATCCTTCTTCTAGAGATCATGTGGTCACTGGGATTAATTCTATGAGTGGAATTAGCCATGGAGAAATTACTGTTCAAAGGGTGAAAAAAGAAGAGGTTGAATCAAAGATTAGTGCATGGCAAAATGCTAAAATTTCAAAGATTAATAACAGGTTTAAGCGTGAAGATGCTGTTATTATTGGCTGGGAAAGTGAGGAGGTCCAAAAAGCTACTTCTTGGATGAAGAAAGTTGAGGTACGTTACATCCATTTGTATTTAATTATGAGATATTTTCCATGTTTTACTTTTTCCTTTATTTGTTCTTCCCAATCTTTTTACATTGTGTTTTCCAAATTTTTTCCTGGTTATCTTTAATTATCCTTTCTTCAATAACTCAAATTTTCACCTTGTTTATTATGGATTAAGAGTTATTTTTACTCTATTTTTAAATTGATTATAAGTTTATATGTTGTTGTAAAGTCGTTAATTAGTCGAGATTTGATTTTAACAATAGTTTGAAAGAAAAATTGTTCTCAAATAGTATTAAGTTGTTCATTCTAATCAGCTTAATTTGAAGTTGTTTGCATGATTGGTAAAAATTTGGAGCACTTATTCATATTTTTTTTCCTACGATATATTGATTGTGCGCATGATTGGTCTAGTTTTATACACCACTAATTAATTGGAGGTTGTAATGATAGGGAGAATATGCTTGGAATTTGGATACTAAATGAGTCCAATAATAGTCTAACTGCCTATTTGCTCTGCCCTCCTACAATGGGAATTCTAAAATTTAGTAATATATTAGGAGTCCAACGCTTTGTAATTCTAGTTTAGTTTAGCTATTTTATGAATAATATCTGTGATTTGTAAACCTTAATTATCTTTTAAATGTTATCTATCTGTGTCGTTGCACCCTTATCTTGTACCTCTACTGCAACTGTCACATGACTAATGAACGAATTTTCAGTTATACCTAGTTATTATGCAACAAAGATATGATCTCGTTCTCCAATTTGAAAAGGATATAACCTATACCAACAATCAAAAAGAATATTATACTATTATTGTCAACATGTCATTAGGTTTTCTACTTGATTTTTCAAGTTACCAATTTCACTTATTATAGCTAGTTTCAAGTCCGTGCATGAAAGTTAAAATAGTTAGGAAATAGTGACAGAATAATTGAACATTTCTTCAATTGAAATACATGGGTAACAGAATATGGGAGTGTGGATCCAGAATGTTCACTAGTTTCTTTCTTTTCTTTTCTTTTTTTAATTTTGTTTTTAAATATTTGTCTTTCAGAGGAAGCTGGAGGAGAAGAGAGCAAAAGCCCTTGAGAAGATGCAGAATGATATAGCAAAAGCACGAAGAAAGGCAGAAGAAAGAAGGGCATCTGCTGAAGCAAAGAGAGGAACAAAAGTTGCTAAAGTTCTTGAAATTTGC